TCCACTGAGCCATCTCCCCAGTCCCATTGATTCTTCAGTTTTAGAGAACACAAACTCGTCCCAGGTACCTTTCTGGTCAGGAGTTTCATTTTTCCCCCTATACCATTTAGAGGTCATCCACCAAAATCATTTTTACCCTGTATCACTACAGCCAACATCATACTGTTGCAGGCAGCTGAGTTAGATAGAAATATTATAGGCCAGGCCGGGGAGATGGCTCAGTGGAATAAACGCTTCCCTAGCAACGCAAAGGTCTGAGTTCAATCCCCGGTTACGAAAAAAAAAAAAAAAAAAAAAAAATCAAATCCCTGGGGAATGCACAGCCCTCCCTAGGCTTCTTTCCTTTAGGGCTGGTGAGATGGCTCAGTGGTCCAAAGCACCTACTTAGAACAAGCTAAGCTAAGCAAAAGCACAGCGTCCACGGTTCAATCCCCAGCACCACATGCCAGCCAGCCCCGCCCCCTGGTGGGCTGAGCTGGCCACACACACACACACACAACACACACTAAATAAATTAATTAATTAATTAAAAAAAAAAAAGAAATATTATAGGCCAACAGACAGGGCCAGGCCCTCAAGGAGACAAGATGGAAGACAAGGTGACTTTGCAACTTGGAAGACACAGACACTCCCCTTGGGCCAGACTTCAAAACAAAAGAGGAAACACAGCTACATACTTCCCTAGGGATGGGCATTGGGGATTGATATCCTAAATAGGTATCAATCACCTTGAAGGATCCCAAATGAGTCACTAGCCCAACCCCCAACAGGAAGAGACACTGTCCTGGATTCTTGCCCACTTACTACCTGACTTGCTTCCTCATTTGGTCCTGGATTTAATCAGTTTTACCTGAGCAATGGTGCTTGTAATCTCATTGGTTGACCATAGTTTTGTCCCACCTCAGGCCCGCCTGAGCAAGCTCCCTTGTCTTTTCCACCTCCTTAGACCCACCTCACCACATGGTTTTCCTCTGTAAAAGTCCCTGGAAGAGACAGCTTCTGGGGACTACCCACTCAGGACCCCTCCTGTCCTTCTCTGATAGGAGCTTTCTTTCCTTCAATAAACATATTCTGCTCATAAGCTCCGTTTGTTTCTAAAATTTGTTCTTCGGTTTTAGAGAACACGAACTCATTCCAGGTACCTTTTAGGTTGGGAGATCATTTTCCCCCCATGTCATTAGGAGGTTCCCTGTATCATTTGGAGGTCATCTACCAGAATTCAGTTTTTCTCTCTGTCATTTTGGAGGCCCTAGTGAGATCAAGTTTTCTCCCTGTATCAATACTAAATGGAGGGGCCGGGGAGATGGCTCAGTAGAATAAGCGCTTGCCTGGCAAGCACAAGGGCCTGAGTTCAATCCCTGGTTCCGCCAAAAAAAAAAAAAAAAAAATACTAAATGGACAAAACCTAAAAGCTTTCACTCCAAAATCAGGAACAAGACAAGGATGTCCACTGTCAATGCTCTTATTCAATATAGTCCTGGAAACATTAGCTAGAGCAGTTAAGACAAGAAAAAGAAGTGAAAGGAATAAGGGTAGGAAAGAAAGAAGTTACACTATCATCATTTGCAAATAACATGATACTCTACATAGAAGATCCCTTTAAATTCACCAAAATGCTTCCAGATTTAATAAGCAAAGTCAGTAGTGTGTATGGATACAAAGTCAACTCTCAAAAGTCAATAAATTCCTGTACATAAACAACAAACTCACTGGGAGAAAAATTAAGGAAACAACAACCTCCACAATAGCATCCAATAAAAAGAAATATGTAGGACTCAATCTAATAAAGAAAGTAAAAGATGTCTACATCAAAAACTATAGTATTCTAGGGGCTGGGAAGATGGCTCAGTGGAATAAGCACTTCCTTGGCAAATGCAAGGGCCTGAGTTCAATCCCTGGTTCCACCAAAAAGAAAAAAAAAATTAAAAAACTATAGTATTCTAAAAAAAATTTAAAAAGGGGGGGGGCGGGGAGACGGCTCAATAGAATAAATGCTTGCCTGGCAAGCGCAAGGGTCTGAATTCAATCTGTGACTCTGCAAAAATAACAACAACAACAAACAGCAAACAAACAAACAAAAACTATAGTATTCTTAAAAATGGAAATTGAAGAGGATATCAGAAAATGGAAAGATAAGGACAGGAATCAGATCAATGGCATAAATACTTGCCTGGCAAGTACAAGGTCCTGAGTTAATTCCAAGTACAAATAAAATAAAATAATCCCTTGTTTTTGGATAGGAAGAACCAATATAGTGAAAATGGCCCTATGCCCAAAACTATCATACAAATTTTTTTTAAATTATTTATTTTTATTTATTACATTTATTTATTGTGTGTGTGTGGCCAGCTCAGCCCACCAGGGGGCGGGGCTGGCTGGCATGTGGTGCTGGGGGTCGAACCGCGGTCCCTATGCTTTGCCAAGCTTGTTTCAAGTAGGTGCTTTAGACCACTGAGCCATCTCTCCAGCCCTATCATACAAATTTAATGCAATCCTGATCAAAATTTCGACAGCATATCTCACAGAATTGGAGAAAATAATCCTAAAATTCACTTGGAACCAGAAGAAACCTAGCAAAGGCAATTTTGGGTAACAAAGGCAAGGCAGAGGACATCACATTTCCTGACTTGAAATTATACTACATAGATACTGTGGTTAAAACCAAAACCAAGGGCTGGGGAGATGGCTCAGTCGAATAAGCGCTTCCCTGGCAAGTGCAAGGGTCTGAGTTCAATCCCTGGTTCCACAAAACAAACAAACCCAACAAATAAAAAAAATCATGATACTGACATCAAAACAAAACATATCTGAGGATCAGTGGGCCAGATGCAGAACTAATTCCAGGCATACTTAGCCACTTTACCTTTGACAAAGTAGCCAACACCTTCACTAGAAAAAAGATAACTTCTTTAATAAATGTGCTTGAAAAATTGGCTTTCCACATGCCAAAGAACAAAATTAGAACCATACATTTTACCATGTACTAAACTAAAATCAAAAAAGCCTTAATAAAAAATAAAGTATTGTTTAAAAAAAAAAAGCCTTAATAAATAAGTAAAAATGGGGAAGGCCCTGGGAGATGCAGCTCAGGGCAACAAATCCTGGGTTTCTTCCCCAGTGTCTT